TGATTTGACGGTACACTCACACACACACACACAAAAAAAAACAAAAACCTTGGACGCTGATGTGTTCTCATGGAGCAGCCTCTTCACTGCTTTCCCTCCTGGGGAACCAAAGAGAAGACATTAGAGCACAAGTTAAAATCTTGCAACTTCTAAGGACATTTCCATTGCATCCACCAGAAACAAGAATTCCACACTGCCAGGCTGACTGGAAGATAGTCAAAGAGAGAGGCATAGCAAGAAAGGACAGTGATTTTTGTGGCTATTGTACAAAAATGCCCAAACATCCACCTCAATCCTGGGCACATACAAAAAGGGACACAGAAGTAACAGGTAAAACTTCCCTGATAGGGTTGGCCAACATGCTGCCCAAGTGTGCGAGGTCAATAAATTTGACTTCCACTGAGGGCTTTTACCCCTTATATGCCAGATTAGGGTTCTCCCAGCCATAATCCAGTCACATTACAAGCATCAGAAACATATCTGCCCAGATGTTGGCAAAATGGCAGGGGCCTCTAAATGCCGCAGGACCTGGTGCCAGGAAGGGGAATCATCTCTTAGGTCTTGCTGTGGGTCACCGCATAGAGGTGGATTTGTTACTTCATTCCTCTGGAGGTGCTGGAGCTGATCAGCCTAAGATGCAAACCCACCACCCTGTTCCACAAAGGGCCATAATGTTCACAGTTCACCTTAGACATGGACGCTGGATAAAACACAAAGCTCAAGAGGACAAAAGCTTGCATTTCTGCCATACGGCAAAACAGGTAGCTTTTCTCATAAACCTCTGGTGACCTCTAAAGGACGGTATAGTACACGTAGCCCTTCTGTCAAGGAAAATGTCTAAGACAATTGCTGTTTTCACACCCAAAGAAAATCCACTGGTGTGATCCTAATAGAAAGGAAAGATGTTTTCCTTTGGGCAGTTATTAACTAACCACTTGTCTTTCCAACTGTAAGTCTGGCCTTACTCTGCTTTTCTTCCCTTTTGATCGCTAATGTCTTCCGGAGCTGCTCCACAGGTCTGATGCAGTCCACCTCACAAGAAGTTGTTGGATCTGTGGGCAACTCCTGTTCTCAAAGCACTAACGCCTTGTTTTGGAATGTGGAGACTCTAACCAGAACTTGCTCACCAGTCAGAGGAGGCAGAGAGGCTGTGTGCTACCTTCTCGGGCTAAGGGGAGAAATAACAGGGCTCGTACTAAGGATTTTTTAAAGGGGAATTGAGAGAGAGAGAGAAGCAGTTTTGTCTTAAAGTAGATTGTCTGATTGTGCCAGAATAGAAAAGAAAGTAAAATTGGGAGCTCTGGTGGCCTAGTGGCAAGAAGCTACAACTACAATCCCAGAGGTGTGTGGTTCGAGTCCACCAGATGCTGTGCCGGGGAAGGAGGGGCAATCTCCTCCTGTACCAGTCAGATCTGATTTGACGGTACACGCATACAAAAAATAAAAAAAATTTAAAAAAAAAAAAAGAAAAGAAAGTAAAATTAAATCCTAGAGTATGTAGCAAGTTGTGGAGGGTGCAGGAGGAAGTGTGCATTATTTGACTTGGCTTGTGATTAAAAACTTAAACTCATTGTTGTTGCATCAAACTGATTCATAGCTGACCTGCCAGCAGGTTTTCAGAGGCTGCAAATCACACAGGAAGACTGTCCATCTTTCTTCTTCCAGTTGGTGGATTTGAACCACCTACCTTTGGGTTGGCACTCAAACTCCTTACCCATTGCTGTTGTTGTTAGGTGTCACTGAGTACAACTCAGAACAACCCTATGACAACAGATCTGAGTCCTGTCCTATCCTGCACCATCCTTGTCATCTCTGACACATCAATAATGAGTTTGGAAAGGGGAGGAAAAAGCAAATTTTCAGAGTCTTGAAAAGCCGTAAAGCCAATGTTTCCTACTAGTATGATTGTTTTTGTTCCTTCCCTTGATTCCATACAAGTAATACAAGTGACAAGGTAAACTGAAGCTCTGAAAATAATCCCTGAACAAGAACAGAGAGAATTTGCGGTTATTAAGTACTGAAACTGCCCACAGGAATAAGTTAGTCTCCCACAACCGAATGGCTGTGGATGTTTTAACCCCCCAGGGCAGGACGTGCTGTAGTGACTATAAGCCAGACTACTAACAGAACTTCCTGACTTTATCGGATCACATGAAGAAGCAGAACGGGGCCCTGAACACCCTTCCTGGCCGGTCTGCTGTACTGGCCCCGCTCCCTGGTGGGGGTTTTGTTGAATGCTGGTCTTTTTCTCCAAATAAGGCCTTTTGTTCTGTTTACCTCTCCTGCTGCTGTGCCCTGTGCCTCCATCCGCAACAGTGATGTCTGACTCATCAACTTAGTTGTGATGCCTCTGCTCCGGGTCCTCAGGGACCTTATAGAAGAGTGGGGGTATGCCAGGTTGTAAGATTCAGCCTCGAGCAATGAAGAGCAGAAAAGCAGGCTTTTTGGGGGTTAAATATGTCTGCACGGCTGCTTACTGCTAGCTAACTTGTGCTGACTAGATCACTACTATGTAGCATTTAGCAGGTGGCCTTAGAGGTCCAATGACCCGGCAATGTGCCACCTTTGTTCATCAGCTCAAGTCTGGTTCTGCCACCACCCAGGGCATTGCTTCAATAAGTAATCCCTTAATACAATACTGATATTATCATCAGGGAGTTGCTGGTCACCTTCAGCCTCTTGGCTCCTCTGGCCAAGTTTCAGAGTTCTCATCTGTGCCCCCAAACGTGTGTACAACAGAACAAAATGTGTGCAACCACCCGGTCCTGGCAGTGGAGACAGTAAACTGTGGCCACAGACTCACTACTGGTCAAGTCCAAGCTGTAGAAGAGAACTAAGGAGCAGAGAGTGGAAGGAAGGCCAGTGTGGGGGGTTTCCATGGTGACAGGCGAGGGTACGCTGCTGTTCCCAGGCAAAGAACCCAAGGCAATAGATTTGCTAGACACATGGGGGCAGATAAACTGAGGCAGTGGTAGCTGAAGACCACCAGCGCTAAGGCCGTGTGTGCTCTGTGTGAAACTCTCTTTCCAAACTCTGTGGTCAGTGACGTTGTGTTGGCATCTTGCAATCAGCCAAGGTGACAGTGGTTACGCCATGGAAACAGCATGGAAAGTGCTACAAAAAAGTGCTTTTGCTTCTCCTATTCTTGGAGGACTGGCTGAATTTCCAACTCACTACCAGGACACATGCTACCTCCAGAAGACAGACTCCCAGCAGGTAAAAAGGGTACAGGTAAATTCAAGCTGTCTGTCCTTTTGTACCTGTCAGATGTGGGAGTAGCTGGGTGAGGGGAGGATTTTGAAATATAAGGACACATTAGTTTTCTAACACATAATAGTGAAAATACTAAATTATTGAACTTAAAAAAGAACTTTGCTTTTGTTGGAGAATCAAAGATAAGAGTAGCCTGGTTGTTTAGGACAAAAGAGGAAAAACATAAGAGAAAATCAATACAATCTTAAGGATCAGGGCGACAGGAGTTGTTAATCAACTGTGTGTGTGTGTGTGTGTGTGTGTGTGTGTGTGTGTGTGTGTACAGAGAGTGACTGGTCCAGCGCTACCTGTCAAGTTAAGGCACATGGCCTGGCATGTCCAGACTCATGGTCCCTAAAGTTTTTCTCCCAAATGTGATTGGTTTGAATCATTTACCTTTGTCCTCCCTCCATACACTTCTACCTTCCAGATTTCCCAGGTGTAAAGCAGCTGCCTCAGTGTAAGGGAGCTCTGATAACCTAGTGGGTAAGGAGTTGTACTGCCAGAATAGCAACCCAAAGGCAGGCAGTTTGGCTCTACCAAGAGAAAGAAAGATCTGCAAGAGAAAGATGTGCAAGTTACAGTCTCTGAAAAGCTGCTGAGGGGTCAGTCATGAGTCAGTTCTGACTTGATCGCACACAACAACAACCACCTAGTGTAGGGACAGATCATGGAGAAGGTACAAATGTGAGGGGCCTGGGGTCTCTGAAAGCCCCTTGGGTCCCTCCTATTGTGGTTGTGGAAAGGTGCCAAACACACACAGTATGAGGACCCAGCAAGGCCGTCTTTGTTTGAGGTTCGACCTGCTGTGTTTCTGAGTATTTTAATTTTGTTTTGGCTTGCAAGTTGATATTCAGAGAGTGAGCGCTAGCCATCCAAATTCCCATCTCGTTTTCCTGTCATGAGACTCCCGCTCTGTCTGAGGGATGACGGGTATTAGGCACATCGTTAAAACTAACCTACACTGACTGAAAAGGAGCAAACAGTACCCACTTGAGCAAGGGGAGAAAATTCCTATGGGAAAATAGCTGATTTTTCAGGTTATAAGAAAAAATTGCATCATCAGCAATATTTTCTAGAAACCATTTCTTTTCTATATATAAATTTTAAAATTACATATAAAAACGTTAACAAAGTGTCTTGTTCCTGGATGGTGCAAGTGATTTATTCTGGACTACTAACCTAAGGTTGGTGGCCCAAACCCATGCAAGGACATCACAGAAAAACCCTGGCAATTACCTAACCTAAGGAGCATGCATTGGAGCAGATGAGGGGAAGCGCAGTTCGAAAAGGATATATGCTTAGGTGTATATGTATGAAGACAGTCTAGAACAAGAGGTGCATTGCAAAGTGGACTTGGGGAAAGGGACTGGATTAGGGGAGGGAAGAAAAAAAACAATGAATGGATAAAAAAAAATTTTTAAGCCCTAGCAATCTGCTTCTGTAAAGACCACAGCCAAGGAAAGCTATGGAGCAGTCTACACAACAATATGTGGGACTGGCAAGAATCAGAATTGACTCAACAGCAATGGGTCTGTTTTGGGTTCAAGGTTTTTTACCCCCACATATTATACAACAAGACAAAGTCAATATTATCATGACTTCCTGTTTGCATAAGAGGACACATGGTTAGAGAGATGCTGTAATGGGAAGAACAGCTCAGGCACACGGACTTGAAAGCCTTCATGTGCTCTCCCATGAGCACCTGCCCAGGCCACCTACCTCACGCCCATTTACAGAAGGCTTACCTGTAATCCTCCCCAGCTGTCCGTCAAACATTTCTCCAACAAACCCAGATATGTGGGCTCCTAGACTTACTCCAATCATGTAAATGTCACCAAGAGAAGCTCCTTCTACCTGGAATTCCAAAAGATACATCACCATGAATTATGAGAGGGCAACGAATTGACAACACATGCAGAAATTTCCTAGCTAATGACATTGGGGAAATATTTCTAAGAGCCTTATATCCTTTATCTCATAAAAATGTCATGGCACCCCAGAAGTAATAAATATGATTCTTGTTTTATAGGTGAAGAGGTGGCAAGGATGTTGAAACTTCATCTCACAGACTGGGAATGTTATCAAGAGGGGCTCATCCCTGGAAAAAGACATCATGCTGGGAAAGGCAGGAGGCCTTGGAAAGAGAGGACTCCCAGTGAGATGGAGAGACCCAAGATTACAACAACAGTCTTGAGCATGGTGGAGAGAATTATCATGGTGCAGGACTGGGATAGGGCAAGGCTCAGATCTTGATTCAAAGGGTTGTGATGAGCCAGAGTCAACTGAATGGCACCTAACAACAATATAGATGATGGACTGAGGCTCAGAGTTTCAATGAGCTGCCCAAGGTAGGCAGCTGGGGAAGTGGGGGAGCAGGCTTCAAGTCCAGCCTGTCTCTCCTGCCCAGTGTATTAACCCTTATGTCACTGTCTACATTCATCCTCCTGCTAGAAACCAAACTGAAAAGTCTTTCAGGTATTCAAAATTGGGAATGGAGCAATAGCACATTTTGATGAGTTCCCTTATGCCCCTCCTGGCTCAGTAATGAAGTCACTATAGTAAGAGGAGACAGGCCAAGACAGGAACGTGGTGGACTGTATCGCCCATCGGCTGCTGCGACACCCTTCCAGGTGCCATTTTAACATTCAATGCCTACAACTGTGGCTTAGATGGACAGTTTAGATTAAAAACCATGCCACTCATAGCCACAATGACCACCAGGTCAGACTTTCTCTGAAATGGTCCACATTTAATGCCATTTTATACTCTCTTTTTAAAATAAAAGAGATAATTCATGAAGTACATCACAATAAAATTCAAGGTTTAGCTTTTGTAGGCCTAAAAATATAAATTATACAAGCAAAAAAGCAACCCCTTCATCAACCATGTGTTTCATTTTGGTTTTGGAAAATCTGGTCACTAATCTTTTGACAGTTCCCAGGGAAAGGGGGGAAGTCATAGAAGCTGAGAAAGAAGGATCAAGGTGTTGAAATCAGGAAGCTTCTGGAAACACCCTCTCCTAACCATAAGATACATTTGTGTAACTTAGAAAATGATGGCCTGCTCAGGACACTTTACTGTGGCATACTGGAAAATGGATGATAATACATCATGACTCTCCACTGCCTATGACAGCAATGAAGCTTCCTGAGATGTGCACCTTGGCACAGTGCACAACCTGTACACCCAAGCCTATTAGTTTAACCCCCAACCCTTCACTCTAGCCACCTAAGAACTTACTCAGAGTTGCAAAACAACCCCTCTGCTCCCAGCAGATGTCTCTTGGTTTTAAATCTGCAAATAATGGATCCGCTTCTGTTTGGACCTGCATTATCTAAGGGAATGTTTCTCTTACCAACATCTGAATAATAAATTCCTTCAAGATGCTTGCTACTTGTCTGGTGTTTTTAGAGGCCTGGTTGTAATTCAGAGTTGTCGCACCTCGATTCCAGTCAACAATGATCACATTCATGTCTTCTACAAGGAGCAGACTTTCCACTAAGTCCTGCATCCAAACGGGAGTGGAGCCCGTTGGCCTGAATCCATGAATAATGAAGGTGGTTTTCTTGGTCACATTCAAGTGCCCCAGGGCCGTGGAGCTGATGGTCTGAGCGCAGGTTTTGTTTCTCTGTGTGTAGAGCATCAGCTTCACACGAAGCCCGGTACCCACCACTGCACTGGGAAAGCTCAGTTGGGTGAATGTAGAACATGCTTCATCTGTGTCTGAAACAAAAAATTACATGGCATCAGGACAGCTCAATCATTTTGGGGTATCAGACAAGAGTGTTGCACATACTTGCTGGATTTTTTTTTTGCTGCTTCTTTTAACACCTAGCTCCTGTCCCAGGCTCAGTAAAGTAGTTGCTGTTTGTTATTATGATCCATCTATCCAGAGCTGACTCCAGCAGGTTTTCAGAGACAATAATGGCACAGGAGGAGATTAGCCATCTTTTACCCACAACTTTACCCCTCAGTAGAGGGTCAGCAAAAAAGATTCTCAGGGAGATAGACTGAGACGGGACCTGCAACAACAAGGCAGTTTCGTGCACCGAAGGGCACTTTGAGTCCCTTTATAACACTTACCAACAACAACACACCTAACAGAGGACTTGGCCCAATTGCACAAAGTTGCAAAGTCACATCTGGGTCAGAGCTCTTGAAGAGTGATGTCCAGGATTTCATACATGTTATTTCCTAAATGTTCTCCCTAATCTGACCCCTCGTCAAGTTCTAACTCATAACGTTACCTCAGTGAAGCCTGCCCAGCCTTTCCAGCTGTAATTACTGTTCCCACAGAATTCCAAAAGCCCTTTTATGCATCACATTGTCAACACACTGAAAACACTTTCAGGATTGCATCATGGTCCCTTACGTATACAGGGGTCTATCCTGGTGCTTATCCTATAGCAGTCATTATTGTTGTGTACTGTGGAGTCAGAACCGACCCATAGCTGACCTTCTGGTGGGTTTTCAGAGGTAGTTAATCACACAGGAGAATGCTTATCCTTCTCCTGTGGAGCAGCTGGTGGCCTCGAACTGTGTGTCTTTGGGATTGCAGAGCAGCTTCTTGCCACTAGGCCACCAGAGCTCCCTCCCTAGTAGAGATTTTTAAAAATTACCGTCAAGTCAGTTCCATCTAATGATGAATTGTGTACAAGCAGAACTGCTTCCTAGGGTTTTCTTTGCTGTAATCTTTATGGAATTAGATTGCCAGGCCTTTCTTCATTATGTCACCTGGTGAGTATGAGCCACCAGACACCTGGCATAATTGACTTGAAATAGTACCTTAGGGAGTGTAAAATTGTGCAACCCCTGTGGAAAGCAGTATGGCGCTTTCTCAAAAAGTTGCAAATAGAGATACCATTTGACCCAGCAATTCCACTACTGGGAATATACCCTGAAGAGACCATAGCTGACATCCAAGCAGATATATGCACACCCATGTTCATTGCAGCTTTGTTCACAATAGCAAGGAGTTGGAAACAACCTAAGTGCCCATCAACAAACGAATGGCTAGAGAAGCTGTGGTACATTCGCACAATGGAATACTATGCTGCATTAAAAAACAAGGAACTCATGCAATATTATTCAAAATGGTTGACTCTGGAGAACATTATGCTGAGTGAAATATCCCAGTCACAAAAGGACAAATATTACATGATGCCACTGTTGTAGAATGGGACTGTCCTTGGGGTTGGGGAGAGACTGAGTAAGATGGGTTCAATAATGTATACTGCACTGAAACAGAGGAGGGAGAAAACCATCTAAAAGAGAGATGTAACTGGGTATTTCTGTCATCACAGGAGACTAGAGCGAGGGCTGCATGGTGGAGGGGACCTGGGGGAGTGTTTGTAAAACAATGAAAGAATCTTTTCTTTTACTTTTCCATAATTTTTGGACTCATGTACTTATAACTTGTTAGTCAAATTTGTGTCTTCTAGGTTGCAACACCCCCATGATACATCTTGAAGGATATGTACATGTACAGCCAAGCACAATCAATAAGAGTGCATCTGAATTCCAAAATCAATCTCCATAATAGTCTATGTGTTTCCTACTGCCAAAGGGGCCCTTTAGAGTAGTGAGAGAAGATCTTCACCCTGAAACCCACAGCGTCCCTTTTCAGCAGGAAGTAGCTAAGAGAATACGCCGTCCCCTTTTCCTTATGACTCAGGGTGAAGTCTCTCTCAGGGAGGAGTGATAGGGAATGGCAAAGGACACACTGACAAAGAAGATTAATCAGAACTGGCTTTGACAAGCACTGTGGCATTTGGACAAGAACAAACTGGGAGGAGGGTAGAGAGAATAGTGCAACAATGAATGAGTGGAAGCCCAAAATCTCTGTAAATGTTTATGAAAATTAATAAAATATAATTATAGAAAGAAAAAGAAAAAAAAGAAATAGTACCTTATTGCCTTGTGTGTCTTTCGCAAAGCCCAGCACATATCAGAAGTATCAATGAGGATACAGAGTCAGCTGAGTCTCTGTGGTACAAAGAGCCTCTTCCCTTTTGAACAACTCTATTGTACAAGGGCCTCTTTCTAGTGTCAACAACTGCAGAGAATTTGACGTGTGCTACCACAGGCCATTCTGTAATACTTGAAACTAGTGACTATCATGGTCTTCCTTGCACTTGCTCCTTTGCTCTTAAAACATCACTTTCTAGCATTCATTCAGCTCAACAGCTACCAGGATAGCCTTAGAAGAAATGAGGGAAAAGACAGGGCATAATACTACTGGAACATTTCGCGATGCCAAAAGTAAACTAATTGCTATCGAGTCAGACCAACTCATAGTCGACCCTCTGTTGGTGTCCAAGGCTGGTTTTTGGTTTTCTTCCATGGAGTCACTGGTGGATTTGAACCAGCAAAGAGGTACTGCCATTGGGTTAGCAGTGCAACTTTCCATGGACGCTGCCAGTGACCGCCCCACCAAATGTAAAAGAAATGCCTAAAAAGAAGTCACAAAGACACATGGGCTTGAAACACTGACCGTGTTTGAGACTATCTGAGCATCTAAATAATGAAAGATGGTGAAGACAGATTGTAGACTTTGGGGGAAAGCAGGAACCTACAACTTAATAACAAAATAAAGAGAGATTGTTGACAAACAAAGAAAGGGAGAATTTCTGCATAAGGGATGATACAGCCTGGTAAAATTGGAGGTGGTGCTGGTGTTGAAATTCATCATTTTATAAGCTTAATAGTAAAGACTGGTTAGGCAAGAGGAATCATCAACAGATGCTAAAGCTAGGTGGTGAGAGGTGTTTGAGAAGGAGAATAGGGTGGGGGATAGTCAACAGAATTTGCTGTGTGTGTCTTTAAACTTCCGTAGTGATGGGTGAAGTCTGTGGCTGGCCTGGAGGCAGCTTCTGTGCAGTGGCTCCATTCTAGAAGTCCCGTTTCTTGTGTCTTAATGGGGGTCACGTAAGGAAAGTCTTGGTTTGGGTTTGGTTTGTGTTCTTAGTAATGCAATCAATATTGAAAGCTATATTCTTTGATGTTGGGTTATGCTATTGGTTTTTTTCTCTCTACAAGTGGGCGTCAGTCGGCCCGGACTTTTGTTGCAGTTGATAAAGACCCAAGGGTGAAGCATAGTCAGCAGCACTTGCTGGATGTATCTTTAAAATTCCATAGGGCCCTCAGGCCAAATTTATTAAGATGAGAATGAACATTCCTTAAGTGGTACAGCAGTCATCTATTTGCTGTACTGAATAACTTGGAGTTGCCTATCAATGTGCCACAGCTGTGTCAAACACCACGATGGTTACCCATCATGGACGGTGTATGGAGGAGCTTCCACACTGATTCAGGTTTGGCAGGAGTGGCATGCTCATCCTAAACCACCTGCCTCTGGGAACTCTATAAACTATAAAGAAATGGTGTGAATTATAGAACAGAGCTCAGGTCTTTTGTTCATAGGGTCGCTATGAGTCTTATTCGACTTGACGACACTTGAGCTAAGTGAGACTCATGTTATATTTTAGAAGAACATTCTTCTACTTTGTACATCACTGCTTGTCAATTTGCTGTACTGAGGTTAAGCTGAGTTTGCTGTGATGCTGAACCTTGTGTCATTGGGGTATCAAAAAATTGTCTACCAATGTGAACAGTGTTTGGTGGAGCTCTCAGCTGTAGGGCAGGTTTGGAAGCAGGAGTGGCATCCATTTCCTAAACCACATGCCTCTGGGAACTCCATGAACTTGGAGAAACTATGATAATTATAGAAAGGCATAAGGTCTTTTGTTCATAGAGTCGCTATGAGTTGCACTCAACTTAATGGCAATCAACAACAACAAAGACTGCTTATTAGTGATTTGGTGAACTATTAATCAAAACGTTAGCAGTTTAAAAAAAAAGGTTAGCAGTTCAAATCTAGCAGTCGCTCCATGGGAGAGAGATGGAGAATCTTCTCCATTCAAGACTTACAGATTGAGAAACTGCACAGAGGGTTGCTATGAGTCGTACACAGCAGAGGAGGATGCAGTGGAGATAGTGGACCCCATACTGGGGTGATCACAAGTCTCATCTCTAGTGAGAAGTGGGAACCATGGGCTTCTGACTGTGACACCTGGAAAAAGACACAAAAGCCCCAAAGCAGTGTCCTGGTGGAGAATGCAGACGCTGAACCTGGCCATGAGAGAAAAGTAAACACAAAAAGAAGACTGGTATATGAGGAAGAACAACCTTAGGTGGTCTAGAGGTAGGGAATTGTGCTGTCAACCCAAAGACATGCATGTGGTTCAAGACAACTAGCTGCTCTGAGGAGAAAAATGGGCCATTTCCTCCAGCGCATTTTATTGCCTGAAAACTCTTTGGAGGGTCAGCTATGAGTCCATTCTGACTTGGCAATACACAACAATGACAACCTTTAAAAAGGTCAGCCACAGACATATATGCACTCTCATGTGGAAATGGTCTAGATTAAAGAGACATAATATGTAAATTTTAATGATTAGGAACAATAGAAGGAGAATTGATGCCTTTGAGCTGTGGTGCTGGAGAAGAGTATTGAATACACCATGGCCTGCTAGGAAAACAAACATTCATCCTGGAGAGGGTTAAACCAGGGTGCTCCTTGAAGACAAGGATTCTGAAGCTTCATCTGACATACTTTGGACATGTTGCAAGTAGGGACCAAGTCCTTGGAGAGGGACATCATGCTTGGGAGGGTGGAGGGCCAGTGCAAGGGAGGAAGACCCTCAATGAGATGGATTGAGTCAGTGACTGGGGTAATGGGGGTAGGTATGTTGGAGACAGTGAGATTGGCACAGAATAGAGCAAGGTTTATGGCTATTTGTACACAAGGTTGCTATGAGTTGCAGGTGACTCAACAATACACACACATATAAATACATTGTATCAATGTATAACAATCAATAACAACAATATATAAATACATTGTAGCCTCTAGATCCTGTAATGGCAAGGGAGAAAAAACTCACACAAGACTTTAATTATTACTAGGCAAATTAACAAAATTAGGACACTAAATTAGGTGAAATTATTGCACTAAATGTACATAAAGTCAGTATGAGTTGGAGGTGACTTGATAGCACATAACAACAACAGCAACAACATGTACTATTTTTACTCTTGTACATTTTCTGCACATTTAAATTATTTCCCTAAAAGTTCAAGCAGAAAGAAGAAACAGGGTGAGTTTTTAGCAGTGACAAGCAGAAAAGCAGGGAGGCTGTGAATCCTGAGGTGGGAAAGTAGAAGAAACGTTAAGACTTCTAACAACCTGAACAGGGTATGCACTATGAAATGGAGGGAGAGGAAAGGTGGGGCTGAGGCTGTATGAAAGGAAATGAAAAATCAATTTATTTGTAAATGTTTATTCAAATCACAACTTTTGAAAAAGAGTTCTACTAAAAAAGGGAACTGGCATTGGAAATATAAACTGGTGATTAAATTGTGAAAGATAAAAGAGGGATAGAAATAAAAAGAATTTGGAGTTATTGGGTTTTGAAGCATGGTGTTAGGTTTGCAATGTTTTGTAAGGCTTTAATCAAGAACAACAACTAAATTAAAGTTAAGAAAATAAACTTCTGCTCGACATCGGTATCCAGACACAATAACACAAGAATTAGTACAGGTGTATAATTTTTTTAAGGCTGCATAATTTTCAATCACCTAAGAATAACTTAAAACTCTGCTTAAATCTCCTCCCAGACACCTTGCTTGGTTATAAAAGAATAACAGCCAAGTAGGAGGTGAACTTGAGCAAAAAGCAATTTCTATAAGTCTAAGCTAGAGATGACCCTTTAGAATCCTGAGGAGAGGATGCCCCGCACTGCAAATGGGCATTTGGCTGTGTGGGTGGGTGGGAAGGTGGACAGCAGAGAGAGACTGGTAACTTGCAATGGACTGACAGAAGCCACGAATACCCTAGGAGACATCAGTCTCGACTTCAAGAGGACTTTTGAGTCCATTGATCCTGCGTTCTTATTCTCCATGGATCTACCTGGCACATCCAGGAATCAATCCTTTCTCATTCTGGGCCTCGGAGTACCCTTCATTCTCGGGTTAATGTATGTATTTACCTAAAGCTTCTGGTGAAGTTGCAAAATAGAATGAGAAGAAGCTCAAATAGCAGTGCAACAATGAATGAATGGAAATCCAAAATCTCTATAATGTTCATTAAAATTAATAAAGTTTAATAAAAAGGAAAAAAAGAAGCTCAAATAGCAGGGCAAAGTTTAAAGAGGCCTTGAAATCTCACCCTAGAAAAGAGGTAGGTACTATTTCACACATCCCCCTCTTCCTCTTTGCCATGCAATAACACCATGTGTCTGATGTAAACATTTTCTCCACGTGTGGGGCCCTTTCCTGCCTCCTCCCCGTAGTCTGCCTGGCCTTGGATAACACAGTCTGAAACTTGTCTGGCTGCTTGTAGAGCAATTCCCAGAGTAAATAACTGTTTAATTAGTCATTGAACAGAAAGTATCATGGAGTAGGGCTGAGCTTTGGATATCAGTAGAGTAGGGTTGGGCTAGTGACTCATCTGGTGACCTGGAGAAATTAATCATAGTTCACTCGCCACTTCCCTGCCCAAGACAGGAATGTGGAGAGATTAATTATGAATGAGGTCATATGGGAAAGTTAAGGACCTTTGTCTATTTCCCCTCATTGTCAAAGTTTATAGACTCTCTCTTCTGTAACCATGTTTCTTCAAGGGAGTCGTCTTGGTTCTGTTTTCACACACTCATTGTCACTGTGGTTTTTTCCTGGGTTTCTCTGTTCACCTCTGCATGACTGCTTCTTGCTGCTGTTTCAAGAGGGGCTCACAAAGGAGCCCTGGCAGCGCAATCCAGCTGCCATCTGAAAGACTGGCAGTTCTAACCCACTTGGCAGCTGTAGGAGAAAGACCTTGTGAATATATATATATATAAATGTGTGTATATATATAATGTGTATACACATGTATATCTATAAATGTGTGTATATATATATATGTATACATATATACATACACACACATATACCTATTCAATACATTTCCTAAATCTACTAATTTTTTTTTCATTTCTTTTTTTCAAGAGTTGTCTCCAAGGTCCCTTAGGGCAACCCATATATGCAACAGGCTGCGTACACTACCAAGGGGTTATTGTTCACAGTCATTGCACACCGGCCCCCACAGAAAAGGTGGACAGTGAGTTTAATTAGCGTCAGAAATCCACTAATTTCTAAATTTCTTCATGGGCTTCAAGCAATATTCATTCCTTTAGAAATGAATATTACCACTATTTTTCATACACACTGTTCCACGTTCATCTTGTATGACATTCTGTTGAAGAACTCTGAGCTTAGCCTTGCTGTCTCCCCTTGTAAGCTACTTTATTTCTTAAAAACAACATAACTCAAGCATCCTTTCCTTATTCCGGAATAACTTCTCCTCACTAGACCAAAAATTCCAAGATCGCCGATCTATTTACCTGCTTTATGTATCACCATCTGGCACCATGGTGCCAGGAACAGGGTCTGGCTCAGAGCTAACATTGGCAAATATCTCTTGAGTAAATAAGAATCTATCTGTTAGCATATTTCCCAGCCATTCAAAATGATCCATATGAATCCTAGAAAGAATGAAATGTGGATAAAATAAATGGAACATGTTCTAGCACGTGCACTATAACTGAAAAGGTGTGAAAAACGTGTCTAAAGTGGCAAGGCCTAGAGAGTAATAGGCAAACAAGAACAGATGATGGAAGGGAGAAGACCAGAAAAGTGGAATATAAGCTCTAGTTCTAATATTCTTTGTTAAAAATTGCCTGTGGTTCTTAATCTTCTCCTTTTTCCTGAATTAATGATATTTTTAAAGAAAAGCCTTACACTTTCCTCATTTCAGACCATATTTAAAAGTTGTTTAAGTTCCCTGAGGTGAAAAATATAAAATCACTGGCACGGGTTGTTTCTGATGCATAGTAACCCTCCATCAATTTCCATGCCTGTACAGTATAGCAGGAGATTGTCCACTCCCACCCTGGAGTCACTGGTAGATTAAACACCAGACACACTCGGCCTCTGGGTCAGCAACACAACATGACACGCCTGTGTCACCAGAGCACCCTGGTAACAGTAATGTTACCAGCACATAGAGTACAGATTTGTCTCATTGGACCTCACATTCTCATGTAATTTAGGGAGTACTAGATATTTCTGAATCGCAGCTTTTAAAAATTGCTTCATTAACAAAAGTGTAGTTCTTTAAGGGAGTTCTGGTGGCTTAGTGGTCTGGAACCGCACTGCCAACACAGAGGTATGTGGTTCAA